CAGAATAGGACTGTTAAAAGAACTTAGCTTTGAACCAGGAGCAATGGCTGGAGATAAGAACTATAGATAAAGAGGGCACTGCTCTGTGGTTGACCACAGTAAAAATATACAGAAAGTGAACACCACTGAGCATGGGCTTCAAGATAGAGATAGAGCCAGGTGAGAGTTCTGCAAAGGATGGTAAGGCAATAATGGTTAGGAATTGACTTAGTTACTTTTTCTTGTTGCTGAGACAAAATACTCATCACCTAAAGTTAAAGGAGGAGAGGTTTATTTAGCTCACAGTTTGCAGAATGAACTAGCAGCCAGAGCACCACTCTGTTCCCTGTATTGCACTAAGTGACTCACTCTCACTACTCCATTGAATGTTTATTTGGGTGGAGGGTATCATCACCACTCTGAGTTTATAGATGATGTAGTGAGACTAAAGGAAAAGGAGCAACTTGTGCTCGGCCATTGATTCTCATCACTGAGACAAAATATTTGACACTTGCAATTTCAAGGAGGAGGCATTTATCTGACTCACAGTTTCAGTAAGTTCAGTCCATGGGTGGCTGGCGCGAAGGCAGAAAGGGGTGGCAGAGGGCATAGTAGAGGAAATCTGCTCCTTCCATAGTAGAGGAAAGAAGACAGGAGCTGGGGACAAGAATGCACTCTTCTAGGCACACGCCCAGTGACACACCTTTTCCAATCAAGTCCCACCAACACATTCAGCTATGAACTCATCAATCAATTAATCCACTGATGCACAGGTGTCTATAGCACCACCTCGGTCCCATAAAATTGCAAAATCCACAACTTTAAACACTTTTGTAGACATATAGGCCTAAACCACAAGACTCATTCAGTTGGACAATGACAGCTTCAGTCTCTGGACTAGCATGACTTACAGATCTGTGTTCTTTCCTCACACTGGCGTGCAGCAACAACGTTCAATGATGCATTTTAGAAGGTTAGTGGAAGTTGCAGGATGAGCTGACTGTGGGTCTTTGGCTAATTAAGAAACTTTATTTGCCATAGCACACGTGAGGCACATGAGAAGCAAGATCCTCCTGTCTTTTCCAATCATTTTGATTCCAGACCAAGGAGGTATTCTCAGCCTCTATAATCTCCTTCAGGCCTTGTTTTCATTGAGTGAAGAAAGGTCTGAGGTAAAATTTGTGGAGAGATTGAAAACCGCCCACCGCTCAGAGAAACAGATTAAAGTGATGCAGAGGCAGCCGGAAACAGAAAGGGAAATGATAGGACTTTGCTGAGGGAGCTGCTGAAAGGAGATAAGATCCCAACCACATTTCATACTGAGGAGAAAAGGGAAGGAATAAAACAGAGGAACAGCACAAAAGCAGAGCAGAAACACAGACACAGGGAAGAGAGATGCCAGGAGGGGAGTGGTGAGACCAGGATCCTCTAAGGCAGAGCGGGGCCCAGACCACAGTGCTTTGCTTGCTTGCTTGCTTGCTTTCTTTCTTTCTTTCTTTCTTTTTCTTTCTTTCTTTCTTTCTTTCTTTCTTTCTTTCTTTCTTTCTTTCTTTCTTTCTTTCTTTCTTTCTTTCTTTCTTTCTTTCTTTCTTTCTTTCTTTCTTTCTTTCTTTCTTTCTTTCTTGTCTTTTCTCTCTTAAAAAGGTAGAGGAAGCCAAGTTTGTGACACACTTTGAATGTTTGGTCCTGATCATTTCATCTCTGTTCCTGAATGTGTGAGCTCCTTGAGAGGTGCCTCTAAATTTGAGGGTCTTCAAGAAGATTGAGACCCAGGCCCGAAAACCTTTTAGGTCCATGACCTTCATCATTTCTCCACCCATATTTTGCTTGCCCAGGACACTGTTTTAACAAATGTTGAATTTTCATGCCTTCCTTTAACTGGACACACACGTGTGCACACATAGGCACACACATGCACACACGTACTCCTCTTGTCACAGGTGTGTCACTTCAACCACTGCCTGACCTCTGAAGTTACCAGGTTGCCATCCTGCCTGGGGTAGAATCTAGGTGTGCTCATTTTGTGTAGGTCTAAGGGCTGCAGACAGGACTAGAAGTCAAGAGACAGGAATCTCAGACCTTTACCAAGGAAAGAGGTCTCTGTCACTGTATGGAGAATTAATTAGACAGGGAAGGGACAAACTTGTTTGTTACAGTTGGGAAGTTGTAGCAAGGGTCCAGGCAGAATATGATGCCAAATCAGGAGACCTTGCTTGTCTATCCAGGCTCATTACCACACATGCCTGTCACAGGGAGAATCGCCCCTTGTAATCTCAATCCATTTGTCAGGAATAACCAAGGTATACTGTACTGGTTCTCAAATTCTAACGTAAATCACTATCACCCAGGGAACTTGGTAAACCACAGATCTCTGGGCCTCGTCCCCATAATTTCTGATTCAGAAGGTAAAGGAGAAGCTAATTTGCATATCAAACAACCTCAGATTATTCTCAGGCAGCTGTTGTGTGTCTGCAATCCTAGTACTCTGAAAGACTGAGGCAGGAAGACCTCAAGTTTGAGTCCAGACTGGGGAATTCAGTGAGACCCTGTCTCAAAAAAGGGATGGGAATGAGAAAATTTGCTCAGTGTGAAGTCCCTGAGTTGAATTTCTTATATATATATATGAACTAGTAGCCTAGAACAGAAATTCAAATGGGTTAGAAACCCTGGCTTCATATTAGAACTGCTTGAGGTATTTACAAATTAAAACTCAGATGCTCAAGTCACACCACAGACTACTTACAAAAGAATCTCTTTAAAGGTGGGACTCGGAACCGGCATTTCTAAAAACTCCACGGCTGACCACACTGTTCCATTACCCTGAGAACTGCTGGACGAGTGGCTCCTGGAGGCCACTACCACTCCTCAGATATCACAATTGTGTGTGTCAGTGTTTCTGAGTCTGACCCAGAAATTTCAGAAAGGATTCACAATGGTTCTTTTGCAAAGGATAAAAACACACTTTGAGCATCAATGTTCTGCTTAGGAGGTATCTGCCATCTTTTTTGAGTTAGACTCCAAGTGGTAATGACAGTTGTGGTTATTGACAGGTGAGCAGGGAGCCTGAGCTAAGTTAGGGTAGGGTGCATCTCTGACTTACAAAATATTATAAGCCTATCCTCTAGATCAAGTAACCTAGCCCCATTCCACTTTCTAGGCAGGGAAACTGGAGCCCTAAACCTGAACTTAGACTCTATTCTTGTTAAGTTTCTAAATAAATGTTTGTGTTCAGGCACTAGTGAAGGTTATTATTAGTAATTAAGCTAATGGGCCAAGACAATGAAAAAGGAGTCACCAACACTGTCAGCTGTTTCTGTTGCTTGGGCCAAATTTATCATTTTACTCAAATCCTAAGCAACGATCCAGGCTTCTCTGGGCCTGCTGTTCTTCAGATTCCCAGGTGAGAGAGATTTTTATTAGCTACAAGAGTGTATTGTGTGGACTACAAGCAGGGAATCCACAGGCTAGACCACTCAAGTAATGAGACTGGATTTTTGGTTTCTCTTCAAGCTAATGTTAAGGGAATAAAAATCTTTTACTTGGAGGATGCCACGCTTATTCCACCAGTGCTCTCACTGCCCTGAACGTGCTGCCGGTACCTCTTGAGAAATGCCTTTCAGGTCCATTTTACTTTCCCAGTACCCAGCCACAAGTGTCTGCCACCAGGGCACACTGTTTACATTCATTTCTTCAGTAACTGTTGGCTTTAATCTCTCTCCCAGGGCTCCTCATGCTGGTCATTATTAAAGTTTTAAAATAAAGCTGTTCTTATTGTGGAGTGAATGGCCATGAATTACACGTGGAGGAACTGAGCCGCATTGTTGCCACATCCACACACCATCCCTGTCATTCAACATGGTTTTCAAATTTAAATTTCCCAAGTAAGACTTAAGGTGTGACACCATGGTTACCTTTTTTTTTTTTTTTTTTTTTTTTGTCTTTTTCATTTTTATCGGTACCAGGGATTGAACTCACGACTGCCTGCTTATAAGGCAGGTGCTTATGCCGCTGAGCTAAATTCCCAGCCCCGATACCATGATTACCTTTAAAGACATTCAAATGTGATAATAATAATAATAATAATGATATAAAATAGGGGAGTTTTAGAAGTAGTCAATGTTCTGGTGTGATCTCACATCATTCCCTATATTAATAATGAAATGTAGACCGGGACAGCCCCTACTGAACCTGAAGTGAAGTGTTGAACTCAGAAACCTGGGCAGAAAACGAGTGGTATGAACATACTGGGTTCTAGAATCAAGGCAATGTAGAGCCACATGAGATTCTCCTCTCATCTTGGGGGAATCACCAAGTAGAAGTGGTATCTGTCATGTTCTGTATAAGCACAATATTGTGCAGCTAAGACTGACACAGTGATGGTATTGAGAGATATTTTGCTTTCAATTTGTTGCTCTTAGAACTGCCCTGAGATTGAATGGACTCCATGAGTATGTAGAGAAATGCAAAACCCAAGATGGTGGCAATCTGGTTCAGGCTTTGGAATGAAGGGGATTGGGACGCAGTGTCAACAGTACCCAGTGTGGGCACCTGTCCTGATACCCCATGTAGATAACTTCCATAAGCAAAGTCAGTGCTGCTCAGTGTAAATGACTTAAATAACCAAAGTTGTTGCCACTCAAGCCACTTTGGTGTATTTTAGTGTAAATGTGGATTAAGCAGCTGAGGACCACTGTGAGCACAGGTGGACTGGAATATGAGGACTTCCACGAGTGTACAGTGGCTGGGGACCACAAGACCAGCTAATCCAAAGGACTATGGCTAAGCAGCTGAACAAAAGAGGTTTTGCCCAGTCCACAGCTCTGTCTCTTCTTTGGGCTGCCCAAATCTCAAGGGTAACTCTCCAGTGTGAACTGGTGACCAGATGGTATGGTAATGAGCTCACCATCATGGAGCACATTCAAGACTGTTCCACAGTGATACTGAGGAGATCACTAAGCATGGGGCGAAGAAGATGTGGTCTCCTCAAAGGTGTGAAATGAAAAGCAGACTGGGACCGTGACAACAATGGAAGACGTGAGACTTTAAAGGAAAAAAAAATGAAAACATCTCAAAGATTATTTGGGCACTTCACGTACTATGCCCCCACCCACAGAACCCCAAGAGACAGGTGCAAGTCAGAGTGTGAAGAGGCCCTCTTCATCCTCCTGCTCCTGCAGCGTGTCACTGAGGACGTTTTTGCTCTCTCCAAAGTTCTGGAAGCTGCAAAGAAAAGAGGCAGGCTGGTAGAGGGGAACTGCGAGACTGGGAGAAAAAAATGAAACACGGACACTACTGATTTACAGTGCAATGAACTAAAGGCTGAGTTTAAAATTTTAGAGTCCATCCAATCCCAGTTTGTCTTTTCACAAACAGAGAAACTGAGGCTATGGGACAGGAAGGTATTTGCTAATGGACAGTATTATCAGGTGAGAAGACAGTGTCCTTAGCAAAATATAAAATCATGATCTAAATGCATTTATTAACAAAAGGCCTCCAAGTAGGACACTGGATGGTCATTTGGCTGGGCCTGTTTCCCCACTAGTTAGTGCCATTTGTTAACAAGTCTTATGGTACTGATACAACAGAGTAATGAAAGTAAGGTTTTCATCAACAGCTTGCACCAAATTTTTACATTTCTTTCCCAAAAAGCTGTAGATGGGACAGATATCCAAGATCTATTTCCAGGGACTCTTTAAGCACTCCTATTTTTAAAAATAAATAAATAGCAAAATCAAAATAACTGCTCTATGGTCTAAGTGGGCAGAAGAACCAAATCCCAAGAATAATATTCTAATTTTTTTTATCTTCCACACTTCCAGCTGTCCTCCCAGTGAACACCAGTTCAACAATATAAAATCTAGTTCAACTTATAAAAATGAGTTATCCACAGTGGAACAAACGTAGAACAGAATAGTGACATATTTACCTCACTTTCTTTTCTTTTCTTTTCCCACACAGTACTTCTATACATGCCTTTATTTTCATTTTGGATAGACATATGGTGTTTACTGGGACACGGATTAATGTGAGCTAAATCCCCATGTCTTTTTAACCTCTAAAGCTATGTCTCCCCATTCCTGTATTTAGTCTGAACACAGACACAAGTCCTGAAGCCACTGAGTCACCTCTGCTCAACTGTAGCAGCCAGTATAACTATTACAACTATGAGCCACGCAGGACGAATTACCTCTTGTGTTTCTGCAGACAACCGGCTTTCATGACTTTTCCTGCAAAGACAAAGCCATGGCATGAGTACAGCAGTCACTGCTGGAGTGTGTGGGTGGGATGATGACGCGCCCCCTAGGGCCAAAGGCAGGCCAGGGCCTGCTGGCAGGGAAAGCCATCCCTTTTCCTGTCCAGTGCTTGTTCTTCAGTCCCCTGTTAATGTCTATGACTGTGTTTACCTTGTGGGCCACAGTGTCAAGCTGTTTCATTTAAGAGTCATTCACTTACCTAGAATTCAGGTAATCACATAGGTTTTAAACTACTTCTTTATGAGCCAGACCCAAAATTCCTCAAAACTATAACCATGACTTTGGATGAGAGCTAGTAACAGGCTCTCACCGATTTCTAAGCTTCCTTTTGCAGTGTTCTGTGGCACAGGTGCGAGAATGTACAAGGGCCCTTTTGCTCAAAACAGCTGAGATAGTCACCAGTCACATCCTGTGACCAACTTCCCTGAAGCAATAATTTCTCTCCAGGTTAGAATGGTATCAGGTGCCATGTGCCTATATCCTACATGAAAACCACAAACTGTGTTTCACAGCTCCTTTTTGTGGTGTTTTTTGAAACTTTATTTCTAGGGAGAGGCATGCAGTGTCATGCGCCGGCTTGAGAATGGAATAAAAACTACAGGCCCGGTGCCCCAGAAAATGCAGACATGGACAAAGAAACACATTTGCAAATGATTTCCAGGGATTTTTGTCTCCCTGCAGGCCATCCAAGGCCCTTAGTTAGGAAAATCTGCCTTTAGGTAACACCAGAGACCAAGATTGTTTGTGGCAAAGCCTAGCAAAAGGAAGAGGTGATTCAAAGGGTTTTTACACCCCAAAACAAAAGCAACAATAGCACTTTTTAGTAATGCAAAAATGAAGATGAGACAAATCAGGGTAGTCAATAAACCTTGAACAAGCATCCAGTCCAGGAAGGTGCTCTGATTCTTGCGTTCACTTTTCCAAAATGTAAATTCTGCCCAGAAGACAATACCAAAAGCCATTATTAATTTAGGGTTACCTCCCTGTTGAGATGCGGGCTGCGATAAAGACCAAGCTTCTTGGGTGGCAGGGGTGACAGAGGGTTGAAGAAAGGGGCAGAAAGCAGAAACAACCCACTATGAGATCATGCTGGAGTCACCACACCCCTAAGGTCCATCTCCCCCTGTGCTGCCACCTTACCTTGCAGGAGAACGGCCCCGAGCAATGCCAAGAGTACAAGACCAAAGCCGGATGCGGTGATGATCATCAGCAGGTTGGTATCCACCTGTTTTATGGGTTGAGACACAGGAAAGGAAATCAGCCCACTGGCTGCTGCATGCCACTATCCAGGGATAATGCTGCCCAGCCCAGTGGTGCCCTCCAGTCACCAGCACCACCCACCACATTTCGCCCAATGTATCTCCAATCAAACTGATGCCAGCCTTATAGGGTATATGTTTTAAAAAGTGTTTCTTAACACCTAAGATATTTTACTTGTATCTCAGAATGTTCCTCAGTCTTAGACATCAGACATATGGCATTTTCGAGGCTCAGAGATCTGAAGACAGAAAGTAACTGTGCTGTGAGCTGTGTTTTCCAATGTCGACTCTCTTTCCTGGACACTGCCTAAATCCTCGGAGCTCTCCTCAGCCCTGGACAGCAATTTTCATGATTGATTTAGGCTTTCCAGCGAGATGCAGAGTGATGTTTCCCAGAGGTCATGTGGTGTATGATGGTATCATTGGGTGCTCTCTCTCCTGCCTCACTTTTAATACAAATTTCTCAGTCTTAACTTTTAGGGACACTGACACCAAAAAGTGTGAGATGCTGTCCTAAGCCAGGCATCTCCCATGGCCCATTCACACAGAAGCCTGGCAAAGCAGGGGCCACAACAAGAACAGGTCCGCAGATGTCTCTTAGAAGAGACACTTTCTCTTCATAGACATCTGTACGACCTGCAGTTTTACCCAAAAGTGATTTTAATCATTTTTATAATAATAAAAATAAATGAAAGGCCCCTCAGAAACAAAGAGAAGCATTGGTGTCAGGTATTGGTTGTGCCATATGTTAGTAACTCCAAACTGCACAGAAGCAGCATGGAATGATCTTCTGGGTCTTTATATATTTTTTTCTTTTCAAAGCATCTGCAGATATAGAAATCATTGATATTATTTCTGCCAAGAGTGTAAGTCTACACATTCTTTGTCTATTTTGTAAGAAATATGATGCATTTTGTCGCTTAGTAATATTCTGTTCTTCCTGGCCCACTTACACAAGCCCATGCCGTAGAGCTTTTAAAACCTAAGTCATACACTTCAGGTATTTCACAGATCTGTTACCTCTGGCTCTGTCACTGTCTCAACCTCTGTCTCTTTCTCCGTAGATGCTGAGAAAGAAAAGCAGGAAAATGGTTATATTTCTTTTACGAAAACAAAAAGCCACCTCCTAAAATAGGTACTTCAAGACCATCTGGAGTTTGAGCTGATGTGTTTAACACCACCTTTTCTTTTTTGCATATTTTTTTTGTTTTGACATGGTTCTAACCAGAGGTTTATCTGCTTGCCAGTGTAATCCCACAGGACCATCTTTATTCTGTAGATGAGTGGAGCGAAACATCTCACCAGCACACAGTTGGCTTACATTTTCAGAGGTCCCAGCAATGCATTCTGAATTTTTATCCAACAAGCAAATGTATTAGTCTTTCAGTTACCAGATACTTACTGAGCCCTTATAGATAAGACATGGCATATGTGTTAGTGCAGAAAATAAAATTTCAACAAATACAGCCACATATCACATAGCAACATTTCGGTCAATGATGATCCACCTCTGTAACCATATGATTATAACAGAGTGGAAAGAATTCTATCACCTACTGAGGTCCTAGTGTCATGATGTCACAGCAAAATGCCTGTGGTGATGGTAAACAATCCTGTTGCATTGCCTGGTATACAGAAGCGGAGCATGTACAGTCGTGTACTTGATTATAAGGGTCTGACACTGCTTTGCATATTTGCTACACTACACTCTGTCATTTTAAGTGTAGTCCTACTCACGAAACAAAGTTTTCTGTAAAAGAGCACGTCCCGCTAATCAGGCGGTTACCTCACTGCCTGACGTTACCATCTTTCTCATTTGCAGTGGATTCTCCTGTACATGACCTGATCTTGTTTTATTCATCATATGCCAGGCCACACTACATGTGTGTGCACCATGTAGCCAAGGGGTGTAGCAAGCTGTATCATCAAAGTTAGCCCACATTCACTGTGTTATATTCACATAAAAACAGAATCGACTTCCATTGCCTTCCTCAGAATGGACTGCCATCACTCAAGTGACACATGACAGAAATGTAAATAACTGAAGAAATAATCAGCTAAAATGTTCAAAAGTCTGTGAAGACAGAATATAATCCCACAGGCCCATGGTGTGAGCAAGGTAGAGCTGCTCTGGAGGTCAAAGAAAGCTTCTCTGAGAAGAGAAAATTTAAACCGAGACACACCAGTTACTTCTGATGTCCCAACTGCTGGCCAGTTACAAGGGCAATTTCTGATAATTTACCTCATGCTAAGCACAATTTCACATGCTACTTGGCCCCTATCATCTGCAAGGAAATTTTGTATGTGCATGCATCTGTGTGTGTGTGTGTGTGTGTGTGTGTGTGTGTGTGTGTGATACTGGAGAAATGAACCCAGGCCCATCTCACTGACCTACTTCTCCAAATCTTTTATCATCATCATCATCATCATCATCATCATCATCATCATCATCATCACCATCATCATTATTTTGAAACAGGTCTCCCTAAACTGCTAAGTTACCCAGGCTAGGCTCAAGCTTGTGCTCTCCTCAGCTTTTTGGAATGCTGGGATTACAGGTGTGTGCCACTATGCCCAGCACCCATGAGGAATTTACAGTACAGAGGAAAAACCAAAGAATCATTTGAGCCTAACAGGATCAGGGCACTGATAGGACCCCACATTACCTGTACATACAATGTGCTCCATGTTTATCGAATGAGTAACACCTATTCAGAGATAAGGTTGTAGAGTCTTATCTCTGTACAAGATCATTTCAAGTAGGTAGAACAGGAGCACCAGTCAAGTGAGGGACGTGTGAATCAGTTTGGCACCCATGTCCAGTCCCAAGCATCTGTGCAGGTGTTGACAGAAGAGGCAGACAGTGGCAAGGAAAGGCAGGGCTGGGGTGGACAGGAACTGGTCAGAGAGGGCCTTGTTTTCATGCCGGTAAGTTTCTGACTCTTGGGCAGCAAGAGCTGTCTCAGTAGCACAGATCTGGGCAGAAGGATGATGGAACAGTTCAAGGGGGAGTTAGCATGATCTCTAAGTCTGAGGCTCACAGATAGCAAAAACAAAGTGGGGAGAGAGATTTCACAGCTAGTGGAAATGACAGGATAGACACAGATAATAGAAGAAAAATTGGTAGGATACAGACATTGAATTTGCAGTGAAGCAGAAACAAGCGTCTTAGATAACTCTCAAAGTCCCACTCCATATAGCAGTCTGTGTCCTAGCTGTCTGTTGACTAAGATCAGGAGCAGGACAAGGAGAGCAGAGGTGATGAGCTGGCAGCTTGGAGCTCTGAGCGTGATGTGCTCACATTATTTACCTAGTCAGCACTTGATACATCTGAATCTGAACCAAGTTTGAAAATGGATAGTTGGAGATACTGACTTAGGAGTCATTAGAGAGCAGGGAGCCATTAAAATCTTCAAAGTAGACAAGAAATTCAACCACCACAGTTCCAGAGAGAAGCACTACAATCCTAGAAAATATTGGCATAATAAAGTAAGCAGACCAGTCAGGTGTTGTACTGCACACCAACAACCCCAGCATTGGATGAGGCTGTGACAAGAGGACTGTGCATTCAAGCCCAGCCTGGACAGCTCAGTGACTTAGGAAGACCCTGTCTCAAAATTTTAAAAAAGGTCTGAGGATATAGTTCAGGATAAAGGTCCAGGGTCCAGTTCTCAGTACCACCACTCCTGGCAAACACGGGTAGAGAAGGTAGAAGAGAAGAAAAAAGAACTCGAAGAAGTCGTAAGGGAGATCAGAAAGCAAAAGCAATGTGGGAAGCCAAAGCAGGGGGAAATATCCAGGAATGATGAAAAATCATCTCTATAATAAAAGCTTAAAATAGAAACAGAATATAAAACCACAGAGTGAGGAAGTCTGACTGTAACAAATGCCTAGGCTAATGATTACTGAAATTGAACATTAACTATTCCCCTCAACCTTCCTCATACTTAAGGGAGAATAAATGTGATGGGTATTGTAAGGCTAGTAATGTGGGACCAGAGAACTTATTGTTCTCTTAAGAAATTCTTCTTAAAAATTTCCTTCTTAAGTTTTTATGCTTCTAGGCATAGTCTACAGATCTGTGTACCCTAGATCCAGTCACTTCCAAAAAGCCTCACGTATGAGCACATGAGACTTTGAGGGGTTATCTAGAAACAATCCATAACAATGGATTAGCCAATGGGCTCTATAACCAATCCCAAGGGCCTATATAAAAAGGAAGCATGAAGATCAAAGAAAGGAGATGTGACTAAGAAATCAGACAGAAAGAGATATGAAGATGCTAGTGTTATGACTTATATCTATCTGTCCCCCTAAACTTCATGCAATCATAGGAGGGGTTTTTGGAGTTGTATAAATCTAGAGTGTTTGATGTTGGGATTAGGGATGTGATGCTGGGATAAGTGGCTCATGCTAGGTTTAAGGGTGTCCCAGTCTGTTTGTGAATTCTTCGGGTGGGTATCCTGGATGAAAAATAAGGGACAGAAAGAGGGCAATTTCCATCTGCCGCTGCTTTGCTACCGTGCTGTTTTGCTGCCTTGTGCCTACCCTGCCAGTCTGTGGACTATTTCTGCTCAGCAATGCCTCTCTGCCATGCCTGCCTTAGATCCAGCCAATTTTGGACTGAAAACTCTACGATCTGTCAACCAAATAAACGTTCCTCCTTTAACTTTGGGTGTTGGGTATTTTGTCTAGCAATAAGGACAGAAACTAAGACAGCTATATTGCTGACTTTGACAATGGAGGCAGGAGACACAAATCAAGGAATGCAGATGGCTTTTACAAACTAGAAAAGGTAAGAAAATATTCTGTCCTAGGGCGTCACATGGAATACAGCCCTGTTAACATCTTGATTTTAGAACTTCTCACCTCCAGAACTATAAGATAGAAAATTTGTTCTGTTATAAGCCACTGGGTTTGTGATAATTTATTGCAGCTCCAACAATAAACTCATATAGAAACACTGGTCACTAAGACTTGTTTAAGAGAACAATACCTCTGGGCTTGGATGAAGGAGATCAAGGAAAGACTGGCTTCATTTGAAAACTTTTTGTACATTTGACTTTTTTTCTGCACTATGTTAAAACTGATTAATTAAACTGTAAGCACAAAAGAATCTTACAGAAACTCTTTTTTTCCCCAGTCTACATATTCACCAAAACTTCTGAATTAATATTACATTTTCCTACAGGATGAGAACATATTCACATGGAAAAATACTAATATGTAGAGCTCTTAAGAGGCAGAACTCTCACAGTAAATTAATAAGCTGGCATTTTGGCTTATAATTTGGTCTCTTAGGATCTTGATAGTCATGGATTCTCTGGAAAATGGAATTCATCTAACACTCATCCCTGATTTTAAAATTCTGCCAAGTTCTGCCACCTAGCCCCCACTTTTCTGACATCTTGGACACTTAATAACATCATTAAATATTTATCCCAGGCTTCCTTGCTGTGTGAACTTAGGCTAAACACTTTCCTCCTCTGATTGACAGATCATTTATTTGACAAGGTTGTTATTTCACCAACTGATCCCCTATGTCCTTTTTAACCTTTATAATTTTGGATGACTTATTACAAAGAATTTAAAGGATCTGATGAAATGATCACTGCACAGTAACCTTTTAAAAAAGATTTAATACTATCCTTAGTATAAGCAATGAGTGTGTAAAACACTTAGTAATGTACACAAGAAAACATGCACACTTCCTGCTCCCAAAAGAAGACTAAAAAGAAATGCTAAGGATCTGGCTTTGAATGGAGATACACACAGTTAAATTCTTCATTAATTCCTTTGCAGAATTTCTATATTTTCTCAAATAGAGATTTTTTTAACTGCAAAATACTGTGTGAATCACTGGAAACTCTCCACAATAGCTCAATCAAGAGCACACTCTTGGGGTGTGTGGTATTTATCTGAAGTAAGGCCACAGTGACCTGCTAAGTGGAAATTTGAAGACATCTGTTAGAAATCTACTACCCACAGCCAAAAATGACTTCAGGTGATGCTGTTAGGAGAGGACACTCCTAGATGGAAAAGTCCTGATGTGCAAAGATACCACATA